TCTTTGTATTTATGAAAGCTTGTAGTTGTCAGTTTTGTGGTCTAGAGCTGGAAAACAAGAAGTCTTTGCTTAAAATTATGCGTTAATACTTTTCAAGGCGAATTGATATTCGTTGAAATAGCTAAGAGCACTCTGTCAACAGGGTTGATTTCATTTATCTTAAAATAAATATGTTTTAAGTGGATTATGTAAAGATAGTCTCATTCAAGTAACACAGATAAATTGCTAAATTTTATATAAAGTGATTAGATAAACATTTTAATTTAATTAAAAGTAATTCAACCAAAAACAATTGAATTAAAAATACTTTCGTTGAAAATAATTTCAATGCGAGCTCTTGCATGTGTGCCGACTAAAGCAAACAATTTCCGCTAGTATTTTATATTGCTTATAACAATTAAAAATAAATGCTCGAATTGCAAACAAAGGTGTCTACTGTCAAAGCTTCTGTCTATATATATATGTATACTTTTGTCCGCCACTGTATGCGAGTTCATGTGCTGTGAGAATGCTATAGTTTACATTGGCGACAAAATAATATTCCAAATGTGCTGCCATCACTTGGCTCTTGAGTGCTCGAAAATTTCAATATAACCAACAATGTGCACTTTGAAATGTGCCAGCGCAATGCCACACTCATATTTCAGCTTGCAATTCAGTGGAAATTAATGTAAACAACTTTTAAGGCAAAAGAAAAATATTAACCGACTTTATGCTGCGAAATAAGTGACTATATTATACACATATCTACGTACAAATATTTCTTGCGAATATGAATTCGCTAGTATTTTTTCACGAGGGTTACCGCCAACCAATATATTTGCGGCCACCAGAAGTTAAGGCAGCAAACACGTTGTTTCAAGCCCATGGGCGGCTTCTGTAAAGACACAAATGGAAACCTTTGAAGGGACTGCTCGAAACTGCTAAATGGCGGAAGAAGTGCTGCGACGGATGCAGAAGAATTCGCGTCAACAATCTATCGTGACAGCGCTGTTATCACGCCACTCAACAAGTCCTACAGTGTGCTATTGACTTCAGGTGAAGAAGGGTTTTGAGTATGTCATTGCTGCGGAATGACTGGATTTCCGATGATGCTGTGGAGATTGAGGGATATCTAGGGAGCAGGAGCTTTCTGGCTGATAGGTTCAGGAGTAGGGACAATAGCCCTAACGGTTATGTGACTTACGAGTACATACGAGACATTGGGTTTGTTTAGGATAATCCAGACTTCGGATTTGGTCTAAGTCTGGATTTTTTGCTTAGGGGATATGAACTTTGGATTGCATTTCTACACTTAGCGGATGGGTCGGGGTGTTTGTGTTGGGTGCAGTGTAAAGGTTGGGCTCACATAATCGAGGATATCTAGATTAGGGATCTTTTGGGAATGGTGATAAGCTGAACGTTTAGATATTAGCGATGTGATCTCCTCTAGTCAGAATGCCAAGCAGTTATGGACGTTTGAATTGTTTAGGCGGTGAGCCGTTTAATAGGAATTAGGTTACCAGTACAAAGCAGTATCGAAACTCAACAGATAGTAGTTTAGGCTAGTAGCCCTGACCGTATACTTAATTCTGGTAACACGGAGAGCTGGATGCATTGGAGTACGCTCCAACCTGCTCATGCAGGATGATCGTGGTGGCTTAAACCTAAATGCGGGAAGAACGAACCAAAGAACGTTAGAGATTTAAGATGTCACACTGTCAATTGGTATTGAAAAATGCCTGGCATTTTCTGGGCGCTGATCAACGCATTGATTTGAGCCGCCGTGCTTTTGAGCGCCGTGTAGTAAGTCTGTCGTCAGCAGGTACCCATGTTAAACACACAGTACGTTGTACACAAAAATTTAAATTTACGAATCTTTGCTGAATATCAACAAAATCTATCAATGATGAGAAAATTTTTTTTGGTGGAATTGGAAGGGAACCATCTTCTATGAGTCGCTCCTATATCGCTAAACTCTCGATTCGAATCTAAATTGTAAACTATCGGACGGTTTAAAAAAAAAAACAAAAAAAAAAAAAAAACCCCAGAAGCGATCAGTTTTGGCCAACTGGAGAGAAATTTTGTTTCAGCAGGACACCGAAGGTTAATATACTTCGATAGTACACTTTGCGAGAAATGTCGATCTCCGGAAGCAACATTGATATAGATTCATCAGAAGCTTCGTGAGGTTAGTTGTCTCCGTCTTTGAGTCCGGACCTGACAGCAAGTAATTATTAACCTTTATCTGTTTATGTTGAATGATTTTGATGTTGAACAAATGCCTCAAGAGAAACCAGCTTCATGTTAAAAGCGTTTCGCTGAGAGTGCGGTAAAAGTTATCTCCAAATGGCAACAAGTCATGTCTAAATGTACTACCATTTCGAATTCAATTTAGAAAAACCCGTTAATTTATCGCGGTAACCCTCGTAGCAACTACAACTTTGAAGGCATTCAGCGTTCCAGCCAGCCCAGCAGCGAAATACGAGCTTCATTGGGTAACATTTGCTGAGTGCCTGCTCCTTTTTGTCACAGTTATGCGCCGCTAGAAATCATCTGCTGTGCACACATACAATTATAGACGAGTAAACACGTAAACTTGCAAAATAAATATGCATAAATAATTTATTTTTGTTGTTGCACCCACAAACAACAAATAAATGTGAAGCGCGAAATGAAGCGCGCTTCGGTGCTTTACAATTCGTGAGATACGATTATTTATTTGCTATATGACAAAAGGCTGTAACTAAAGTCAACGATATTGCATCGTGATGTAGTGTTGCACAGAGATGCAGCGTGTTGCAACGTGGCAATAACTGAATTACTGTAAGTATATATAAATGTGTGTACATTTAAGAGTTGCTTACTTTGTGCAACAGCTCGGAGGAAACTGCCATTATATTGCACTGAAGCGCAAACACACACACACATGCAACCTTTTGTTGCCACACAGTTTGTCTTCCAATGCTATGCACCAATATTCATTGTTGCGCCGCAAGCTAGAAACATTTATATATCTCTATATACAACTAAACAATCGTAACACTATTGCAATTGTTGTTGTTTTTGTTGCTATTGTTAATGTTTATGTTGCCATTGTGTCGCACTCCATTTGACACACCAAAATGGCATGAATAACGAGCGCCACAATGACGTGTGTCAAATGTGACAATTGTTAAAAAAGCAGAAAAGTGCAAGAAGAAGAAGAAGAGGAAAAGCAAGAAAAAACAAGAAAAAGCGTTTTCACATTTTCTTCGGATATTGTAATTTTGCCGTAGAGAATGCCAATTTGTGAAGTTACCTGGTCAAATAAATAAAATTTTCCATATAAGAACGTGAGTTTGAAATGATTAAGAAAATAATCGCTGATTTCCCCCAAATCCCCCAGTTTACCATCGAAGAACTGCAACCCGTACGGGATTACAGCAGAAATCTTGAAAATAATCGCTACAGAGTGGCCGGCAGTACTATTGAATATGTGCAACGGCTGCCTCGAAGCCGGAATGTTTCCTGAACTCTGGAAAAATCAGCGACTGTTGCTAATCAGCAATGGGAAAGAAGACCCAAACTTGCCATCAGCTTACCGTTCACTATGTATGCTTGGCACAGCGGGAAGCTGAGAGCCTACGCAAACAAAGAATCGAAGCGGTTATCAACGAAGCTGGAGCACTCTCACCTAGACAATACGATTTTTGATGCGACAGATCAACTCTAGGAGCTATGAAATGTGTCATGGAAAGTGTAGAGACGCAAAGCGTAGATAAATGAGCCAAAGGAATCCAACGTCCAGCTCGCTGCGGAGAAATCAGAGCTACTACTACTAACAATTAAGCACATACACCTTTACCCGTCGAGATATGTATGTATGCAAATGACTACAGATACTCTTAGGACAAAAAAAAAAAAACATTTAACAACCTAGGCGTAAGACTACACCTCAGACTAACCTTCTAGGCACAAATCCAGCACGACGCAGGTAAAGCAAACGAAAATCACCTCTCAACCTAGCGAATTAATGTCCAACATAGGGGACCTAAGGCAGAGAAAGAGAAAGCTCCTAAAGATCGGAACCAGGTGGGCTCCAGGACAGCTCCTAAAAGCAACCGAAATCGAAAAACCAAAGTTGCATTTTATGAACTCTTGGAACACATTAAATAGTAGTAGCTATAGAGTAGTGCTTTCAATTTCAAGAAAAGTATACATGTGTGTATATTTAATATGTAAATAACAATTTTAAAAAAAGAGTATTTAATGAGAGGCGCAAACCGTCCAACATAATAAAATATATAAACTTTAATGAGTTTGATTACCTTTTGATTTGTTTAGATCAAGTTCCAATTGGTTACCGGAAATAAAATAGAAAAATTTCGTTAATAAAATATGAATATATTTATTATTAAGTTTTTGCTAAATGTTGTAAGATACTTTGTAATAGTAAACAAAATTTTTTTATAGTATCATATACAATATCACTTTCAATGTTGCCAGCATATGTAGCACCTATCTATATCCTTTTTAAAAATAATTATATAGTGACTTATAATATACCGTAAAAAATCTTCCGAAAATAAATTCCTAATATCGCAGTAAGTAGTATCTAGTAGTAAGTAGTTCTATGCTATTCTATAAAATTCCATAGCGAATGCCAACAGCGAAAGACAAACACACAAACGAACTTACTATATTACTCCGTTTGACTTCCACTATATATTCATCTATACACATCAAATGTTGTATATGTAATCAATAGTAAACAAATATGCAGCTCCATATAATTACATACACACATAAATACATTTATATATCACATACAAATTTACATTTCCAATATTTCCAAACTGTCTCTTGCTTATTTGCTTTTGCCAACTCGCTGCAATAACAAAATTGTTAAATTCTTTGCAGGTGCTAAAAAACAAACTCAATTTGAAAAGAAATCCAGCAAAAGAAGAAGCACGCATGCAAAAAATTCGCAACGCACTTGAACTGCTTATGCACTCTTCTTTCTCTCCCACTGTACTATATAATTGCTGAAACCTAAATGGTTTGTTGTTGGAAACTGTAACAAAAATCAAGCAGTGGAGTGAGAGACTGCGTGTTGTTGCGCTAATACACYAATTAAGAGATCAAAAGWATTGATGAGTGGCTRTGAGAGWCAGCGTGAGTATGTTGSAATGTGYTACCGTTTGACYTTCATACTCATTGCAAATAGTGGAATTTGGTGAACAGTTGCTTCTCCGTTAAAGTGTAGAAAATTGGCAAACTGGACGATGAATTGTTAATAATTAATTAATAAAATGTACTTAAAAGTGTTTTAAAATGTTTAGTGAAGTGTTTAAAGTGTAGGGCAAGTGAAAAGTGTACAAATAGTGTAGCGAAAAAGTGTGTTAAGGTGCTTAAAAAAACTTGTGTGCGAAATCTAATTGGAATGCAAATTGTTTGTGCAGTCGGTACGGGTTCGTTTCATACATACATACATACAAATACATGACGCAGCAGCAAAATAAGTAACTATGCGATATAAAGTAAATACATAAAATAATGAATTTATTAATATTATTATTTTTGATAAATATAGTTTATAGGAGTCAAAGGAAATGTTAAAATAAATATTTAAAGGTGACATGTAAAACGAAAATATCATGAATGGGCATCGTTTCGTATACTATGTATGTATGTATTTTTAGTATGTGCATAAGTGAATACGTGTCGAGTTCGGTTCGTTTTGATTTACTTATTTATATCGGTATAATCTACAGTAGTGCGCGGAAGAAAAGCGTGTAAGTAATTAAAAAATATTAAATATCTAATAATAATTAATGAGCGGTAAAAGTGTGAAGTGCGGTAATCGATGTATGCGTTCATGCATTGTTGTAAACATTAAGTTCCATAAACACTTTGCAATGAAATGACCATAATATTGTGCTCAGAGGCGGTTAATCCATATTTCCACATTCATACATATGTATATTAAGCAAAGAATGCGAGCAGTAATAGCAGATTTCTTTGGTGAGTACTGAAGAATGCTTTGTTATTTAATTATTGTATATAAAACATCAAGCAGAAACATAAATTTTTTTATATACAATTTCCAAACATACACAAACTCATAAGGACGTTGTGTTAAAACTGATACAAGTAAGGAAGAGCTAAGTTCGTTAGTATCCGAACATTTTTCACCCTTGAAATTTGTAAAAATTAAAGCCAGCGAAATACCTTAAAATGTTATATGTCAAACAGAGTATAATTTTACCTCCGAGACGGTATGAGAGGGCTTTATAAGACCCGCTGTAAAAATTAGACCATCGGCGTGAAAGCTTACACCTTTTGGTGAAATCTCATATCTGGAGACCAGACAGACATATTTCGACTAAATTTAGTACGTGACATTTCTCTTATATTCCTTCATCATAGTCCAAAAATGGCAGCAATCGGACCAAAACCACTTTGGATATAGCACAATTTTAAATTCCATTTGATTCTTTCACTTTCCAGTTATTAAATAAATCAAAAATGAATTGATATAACTGTATACAATTTTTATTAATAATTTCTTTAAGTATGCCACCCTGTGACCAAAGATTTCCCAAATCCAACGAAAACTGTTCAAGCACCTATGTGTGGAATATGTGGAATCCACTATCTATAGTTGACTTTTGAACGAAAATATGGGTCCATGTATGGGATATATAATTGAAATTTAGAGATAATACTTTCCTGGCAATAATATCACTGTGTGCTACAAATGGGTTGAATTGGATCAATACTTCCCTGAGTCTACATAAAACTAATATGAAGGTTTTAGAACTTCCGTGTGACTTTACATATATGAGGTATCGGCCAATATTTGAGTTATCTTAATGAGATAATAAAATGTTCGGTTGCACGCAAATGGTTTTTGAATAACTTTTAAATACTTTTTTAATATTTTGTTTTAATTATTTTCATATATATATTTTAATATTTTATTTTATATATATTTTTTATATATTTATTTAATAATTTTTTTTTAATTATTTAAATTTGAAACATTTTATTAATCCAATAACGTTTCTAAACACCTCGGCAAGACACTCTCTAAGGTCCCATTTTATAGAAGTAATCTGCATTTTAATTCTTAAACACCATTGACCACACCACAGTCAGCTAGCTAACGAGCCAGGCAAAGACATGCAAATTTCCGACTAACAAAGGCGCATAAGAACTCGGCACAGGTGGCCGCACGAAAATTAATACTCACAAAAACAAAAATATTTACGGAATATGCATGACAACGAAGTAAAAGCAGGCAAAAAAGAAAAAGAAAAAAAATACACTGAAACCGAAACTGAAACCAGTAGTTAAATGCCAAGACGAGGAAAAATCTGACAGCGACATGACAAATACGTAGCCAATCAATCATTGGTTGTAAGTAGCAAAACAGCAGGTGGAGGGAGAAAAAAAAAAGTTGAAGAACTTGCTATTTAATATAGTCACATACAGATGTAAGCATATGTAAATAAACATATATACAAACGAACAAATATTTGTAAGTAGGTGTATGAAATTCACATATAATTATGCATTGGTGTGGGTGTAATGGCATGCTGGTTGTACTTTCATCCACACTCGCCCACTACATTGCTGTTTGCGTACTGCTTTCTGTGGAATTTAGTTCACTTTCATATTTTTGTTTGCATTCTACGCAAATATAGCCACATAGCTACATATTTTCAGCATTTTACTTTATTAGCCGCTACCAATTTTTGAAATTCTTGCCATTTCACGCTACAGCGTACACATATCGGCACAATTCACGTTCTTTTGAAGTGCACATACACATGCCCCACACATACACCCACCCACAACAACACACACACGCACGTGTTGATTCTGTGCTTTTCTGTTTGTCAATATGTGCTTTGAATATGTGCGCGTGTGTTGGTGTGTGTGCTCAGAACGCATTCTTTTGCCAAAGTTTTCCGTTCACATTTCATGGCTCAGATGATAAATTAAGCAAATTTAGTCAAAAAGTTAATTGTGGCAGCCGTGGCAACATGCGCCTCCAAGCGTTAACAAAAAACAACTACAAAAAATATTAAAAAAAAAAAAAACGAAATGCAAGAATTAGTACCAAAAAGTAATAAAACTTTATTATTCGGCCGATAAATTAACTTATGCGCGCTTAGCAACCTTAGCATATACTTGAGGAAAATTAGCGCTGTATTGCCTGCAGCTTTGTGGTAAACAAAAATAAAGAAACTTACCACTTGCAAAAAAAAAAAAAAAAGCAAATTAAGTTAGTTTACTAAAAGTTTTCGGCAAAATGTTGATTGATGAAATGCCGGAAGTTATCAAACTGTACCTGCTGATGAAAGCTCATAAGAAGTTGGGACCACAAATGTTACACATGTGACCACCTAATATTTGGCCTATACTTATACTTGAACATAAGGGATTATATGTGGTGTTTTCAAAGAATAATCTTTTTTTTTTCAAAAACACAAAAAATTATTCTTTCAATTTTTTTTTTAATTCAAAAAGAAAAGCCAGCTTTATTCGGCCGTCTACAGCAATGTTGTCGACTTTAAAATAGTTCCCATTCGATATTATGTACTTAGGCCAGCACTTCTTCCAATTATCGAAACAATTCTCAAACTCGATTTATGGAATAGCATTTTAGCGATTTTGTTCTGACTTGTAAAATGACGGCCCTTTAAAGTTTGCTCAGTTATGACATCGAAGTTTTCTAAAGATCTTTCAACAATCATTCTTGAAGCACTCGTTCTGGTGTTGTTATAACAGTACTGTTACTTATCTATGTATCTCCTACGCTCTGTTCGGATTTTTCAGTAATATTTTTTTTTTTTTTTTTTTTTTTTTTTTTTTTTTTTTTATTTGTAAATACAAGGTAAAGTAAACAAAACTTCAAAACTATATTTCGACAGGTCCATTATAATCTGCCTTCTTTGTCGATTGTCTAGTGAGAGTTTCATGACATTTCATCGATTTTAAGTGAAGTTATTGCGTTTTCAGTGTCAGTATGTTTGTGTTATCGGTGCGCAAATGAGCTTCGAAAAAAAGCCAACTTCAAATTTTGTTTTGAAATTCGTAAAACTTTTACCGAAACGTTTCAATTGATGAAAAAAGTTTATGGCGATGATTGCCTATCCTGAGTGCACGAGTGGTTTCACGTTTTCAAAGTGGTCGTGAGGACATAAACGACAATCAACATATGAGCCAAACAAAATGCAGTAAGCGCTCTTTCCACAACATTTCTAATATTTTCCTTCGAAATCACTTTGAAATTACATATTTTCATAAAAAATTCACAACTTTCGGGAATAAAAAAAGTAATAAAATAATTGCGTGGAAGTAGCTAAAAAACCTTAGTGGAATGTAGGCCAGAGTAAGTTGTCCAACTACAAATACAATCCGTGCAGACTGCCGTTACTTGCATAAGTTGTTATTATTACTTTTTCCAAGTAAATTTAGCATTTTATTGCCTTACTCCCCTCACCGTTCGCTCACATTTCATTAGTTTTTCAGAAGAGCTTTCTTGCATAAAGCTTTTCGTGCAACTCTGCGCGTTCGCGCATTCATTTCATTTCTTGTTTTTGTTTCTTTTTCACTTTTTCGCTATTAAATTTCAAATAACAAATATTATGCTGCATTTCTGAGTTGCTTGGAGCCACAATTGCCTGGCAAAGAAATTAACTCAAGTTGTACGAAAACAATTTGAAACTGATATGCAGCGGCGAAAAATAATAAACCAAAACCATACAAGAAAAAAATTAACTTGCATTCACTTTTTAAATTTTAACGGTGCGTTTGTATAGCTCACGCTCCTTCCCTCTTTAGTATATGCATTCCGGTGCATAACCAATGTCCGCTCTGACAACATTTCACTGGTGTCTCTGTGTAGCCCTTTCTCTAATGGCTAAGTTTTTCGCTTTGACTTTCTAATTCGCACTACTCATATTACCGCTAGGTTTTGATGCAAGTTTTTTTTGTTACTTTCGTAATTGCTGAGGCACCACTTGCCGTTAAAGATATGTTTAATTGCTCTTCTCTTGTCTTTGTTTTTGCATACAAGTTTTTACAGTTTATAACATGACCACTTTTTAATTTTCTTTCATTGAAAACTTTTATATTTTTGAAGTTTTCAATATTTTTTTATTGCCGTTTTCTTAACGTCAGGTTAGCAAAATGTGCCAAAATTAGACAGATAATGTGAATAATGCTATTGTTTTAACAGTTGCTGTGAAAGCTTCTGAAAACTCAGTGAAAGGTCTTTAGCGCGAAAGGTTCAGCGATGAATACTGTGACGAACATTATCGTGAAAGCTTATAAAAATTAAGTAAAAGCTTCCAAAAGCTCATTAAAGATTCTTAAAAGGTTTTTATGTGTTGATTAATCAAAGATTGTAAAACTAGATTGCTGAATAATTTTGGTGGAAGCTTAAAAAAGCTCAGGGAAAGCTTTTTAGTGCACAAGGGCTAACGACGGATGCTAACACGGACGTTATTTAAAAAGCTTCCCCAAACTCGGTAAAAGCTTCCAAAAGCGCAGTTAAAGCTTTTATTAGTGTTTCTAAACTATAAAATTTCGAAATGAGACTGAAAAAGTGGGTAATTACATATCACATATTATTTGCATAAAATGCAAAAATAAGGCAGATAAATTGAATACTAATATTGTTTAAAGAACTGAAGTAAAAGCTTTCAAAAGCTCAATGAAAGTTTTTTTAGTGTGTGGAAGGACCAACTAGCATAGATATGAAGCGAGATGGGCTTTGCAACGATATCTTGGGTCTAATGTATGATGTCCTCCATCATATGTATGTATTTCCAAAGGACCAGCACTCTGACGAATTCCAGGAATTTGCTGGCCGCTATTGCGGTGATGCGATTAGTTTGCACAAGAAGCAGTTTCCATGTGGGACAGGTATTTCTTGCGCATGCAGCACGAAGTACAGAGCGAAGGACCAACTAAGTTAGACCCTAAGTAAGAAAGCTTTTGAAAACTCT